ATTCCTGGGTTGCAGGTGAGATTGAAATTGGGGGGTCCTGAACTGGTGTTGAGACTGTGTTTGGGTTGAGGTCCGGGACTGGGGTTGAGACTGTGTTTGGGTTGGGGTCCTGGACTGGGGTTGAGGATGAGCTTGGGTTGGGGTTCTGGGCTGGATTTGAGGATGAGTTTGGGTTGGGGTTCTGGGCTGGATTTGAGGATGAGTTTGGGTTGGGGTTCTGGGCTGGATTTGAGGATGAGTTTGGGTTGGGGTTCTGGACTGGGGTTGAGGATGAGTTTGGGTTGGGGTTCTGAGCTGCAGTCGAGGCTCAGCTTGGGTTGGGGTTCTTGACTGGGATTGAGTCTGGAGCTGGGTTAGGGTTCTGGAATGGGACTGAGTCTGAATTTGGGTTAGGGTCCTTGACTGGGGTTGAGACTCAAATGAGTGCCGGGACTGAGATTGTTGTCCGAGCTGGTTCTGGGTTTGAGACGGTTGTCTGAGTAGGGTTTGAGGTTGCGGTGCTGTGGGGGACTGACTTTGTGGATGTGGATGCCTTGTTTGGGGCGGATGAACATGCAGAATGGATGAGGACTGAGTTGGAGGATGCTGAGTCTGAAGCTGGGTTCGGTGCTGGGCTGGGGAGTGGCTAGACTGTGACTGGGCTTTTTTGGGAGACACCTGGGGCTGACTATGGGTTTGGGGTGGGGGTTGTTGGGACCGTGATTGGTGCAGGACATGCCTGGTAGGAGATGAATGGGGTGCAGGGTAGGGGGGCTGGGCTAGGAGCTTACTGGGAGACTGGGTCTGGGGATCTTGTTGGTGAGAGGGTTGGACCTGGTGGTGACTTTGAGGAGGAGGATGCCGAGGTCCAGGCAAGGCCTGAGGCACAAATTTGGACTGTGGTCTGGAAAGAGCTTGCTGGGTGTGCTGCAATTGTTGGGTGGTGATAAGAGGCACAGTCTGGGGCTCAACTTCAGGTCTTGACTGACTGGAGGGTGCTGGATGTCCAGGGGCTGGCGGAGGGGGAGGCGGAGGCTGATTTAATGTGGAGGCAGAGGACTGTTGGTGGCGATGATGATGGTGGTGGTGATGATGATGGTGGTGTTTGTGAGGTCTGTCCTTCTTTTTGTGGGTTTTTGGTGGACTAATGCTACTGCTGCTGCTACTCCTTCCTGCTCCCTCTCCCCCTTTATCACCTACATCTTCACCCACTTCATCTTCTCTGCTTCCTTCATCTCCAGCTGCTGCTCCTGTTTTCTCCTTGTGCTTCCTCCCTTTGTGTGTCTTGTGTCCATGTGATTGGCTTTCATCTGAAGCACTTGACTGCTTCTGTGGTTGTGACTGGCTCTGCTCAGGGGGGGTGGGCTGAGTCTCTGAGGTTTTAGCCCCTTCTCCTGTACCGCCCTCCCCCTCTGTAGTATCCCTCCTTGCAGTATCCGTTGTCGTAGCCATTGGAGTCGGAACACTCTCCCTCTCCTCCACTGTCTCTCTTGTTTTGCGTTTTTTGATTGGCAGAGCTGTTTCCTGGACAACAGGTTTGGTGGAGGACTCCTTGGCTGCTCTCCGTTTGGCCTCAGCAACTAAGATGGCAGCTGCAGTGTAGCTCCCAGCTGTTGAGCTACCAGCAGTGGGTACAGAGGAGGTGGATGCTGTGGCCACTGTTGCTGCTGCTGAAGCTGAGGCAGGTTTCCTCCCCCGTTTCTTAGGGGCAGTCTGTGGTGGGGGTGGAAGTTCTTGTTCCGATTTCCTTTTTCTTCCAGGACGGGACTTGGGCACTATAGCAGCTGACACCACCTGGAGAGGAATTTACAACATCAACAAGTAGCATTAGCATTGACATTGGTACTTCTTTATAAAAAACGTCAACAATATTATTACACTGCAAACTCCATTGTTAATGAAAACAAACTGCAACTTCTGCACATAGTTGCAGGACTTTGTTACTGTACACATCTCGAGTCAATTGGAGTTTCTTAAAATGTTATTTCCATCATCCAATGGCATCCTCACTCCGGTGATCAGGTCATATCAAACTTGGGACAGTCTCTCTCCTTCCAGAGTTGGAATCTTTCTGTGGTGGAGAGACCTTTTAATAAGTCTTTTAATAAGACTTCCATGACTTCTTAATCTACACCCTTGCATGGGAAAAACCCTCTAAAGATTGAGGACAATGCACAAAGGCACCTCAGCCAGATGTTCCCAGGTCGATAATACAAGCTAGGTCCGTCTGACAGCCCCCGTGCCATCTGACTTATCTGACCGCCAAGTGGAGTCAATTCTTTCTGTTGCTGCAGTTTGGTCTAGATATTCAGTCAGTTAGAAATCTAGTTGGAAGCAATGTGTGTTTGGGACAGGCCAGTCGTACCTTTGAAGCAGCGGAGGAAGTACCAGTGGAGGACTCTGCCTTACTGAAGGGCATCTTGACCAGCAGTTTGCCCGGAGTTTTTTCAACCACACGCTTCATGGCCACGCCCTCTGTAGCCTGCCTCATTTTTCCACTGCCTATACAAAGACAACAGAAGGTGAACACCAACACTAAAGAAAACAAGAAACACCAAAATACTCTGTTAACTTTTGAGTTGATGACTCTTAGTGTCAGTACCTTTGGGTCGCCCACGACCTCGCCCCGATGGTTTCACCACCTTCGTTTTTTTGGGGGGTCGTTTCTCGCGGCGGGAGGGGCTTCCACGACCGGTCACCGTAAAATCAAAATCGTTGGGGTCAGTGGTAGTATCACCGACCTTCTGGAAGTAGGCAATAAGTTCCACTTTGGAGCGAAATGCTTTTCCCTCTGAGCTGAACAATTAGACAAAAACAAACAAACGTCATCACTAAAACTGTGCTATTACACCATTTCCTCATGGAGACGCAATACAGCATCAAGTGCTTTACTTAATCAGGTAGACATCAAACTTCCCCGCGGAGCGTCCAGACTTCCTCTGTTTGAGTTTGCGCGTCCAGCCATCAGGCAGTGATGGGTCGTCGTACAGTGGCCCACGATCCCGGATGATCGAGCGCCGCTGCCTCGGAGAACCTGCAGATTCACTGCCAGCCGCAGATTCGGACCCTGGTGCTGACCCTGGCTCTGAGGGACCTGCCACCGGCTCCAACACCTGAAAGGGAGGAAGCAACATTAGACAATTTTTTCAGACGTTTATTTAGAATATATTTGAGAGATCTGCACCAAGTACAAATAAATAGCTTTGTAATTAAAGAGAGCATCAGAATTCTTCAACAAATGAACAGCATGACTTAAAACCTTTCCCTTCACAACAAGCTATCAAGACGTCCATAATTTTGTGATGTCACAATGAACCAGTTACTGCCCTCAGTCATGGCCCCAGCATGGCCCACACCGACCCCCCCATCAATACTTACAGGATTTGGTTTCTCCAATTTTATACCTGAAAATAATTTTTTCATTGTAGACAAAAAAAAAACCCTGACTTTACCTGGGTCTGTGGCTCCGCACCCATCTGTGGCTGCAGCCCAGCTGTTGAAGGCGTGCCTAACGATGTGGTCTCAGCCCCTCTGTCGGCATGGCGACACTCCCTGCGGGCCTTCTTGGTCTTGGTGTGGGACCTGTCTCTCTCTCTGGTAGGGGGCTGGGGGTAGACAGGTCCCTCCTCCCCCTCTTGACCCTCCTCCCTGTGAGAAACAATGACATCATATCTGTTTACATTACATCACGTACGACATCACATGGTTTTCACATGGGTGGAGGGTTCAACAATAACCAAACAAATCTGACAATCTCGCAACCACGCCCACCTCACTCAGTGATTGGTCAGCTGTGTGGAGGTGATTGATCAGGAGAGATGCAGCGAGAGGACGATATCAGCTGCTGCAGACAATGAGCCTTTAAAATAATACTGACTTCAGACCAGCTGCTAAAACACTGAGTCGCACCACATGGACACTCAGACGGTCACAATGGGTTTGATATTTACGTAAACACTGTAATTATTGATTATGATGATGAGTGTACTGATAATTAATCAGTTAACGATGATAGATCATAAAGTAGCTGCTCATTGGTTTCATGCCAATACACCGATCAATGCATGGACCGTTTGCGTGAGCGTCATGTCAATTTACTTTATTGGTCAGATCACATGTGATTTGTCAGTGAAATTCATGTAAATAAAAAGTAATGTAAAATTGGTAAATTAATG